CTCTAATGACTAATGATCATGAACAGTTCTTCCTATGTTTGTTTGGCCGCACTGGTTATTCTTTCTTTGTTTATGTTTATGGTCTAAATCCAAACAGGGCTCATTGTTTCTTTGCCAGTCAAATCTATCAGTCTCACATTGCCTTGTATGTACTTGACATGCTATTACTTCTACCTGAATGCTCGTATCCCACCTAGCTAACACTTTCCATAGCTTACTTCTTTAGTTGGTGCCTTAAATGTCAACTCCTTATAGAGGTCTCTGACCAGTTTGTCCAAAATAGACCCCTTGTGGCAGACACTGTTGGTTGCAATGCCAACATTTCTTTCTCCCTTCCATCCTTATTCCTTGCTAAGAAGAGCTCCAGTTTTGATTTTTTAAGGGTACTAGGTAGTCATGTGGTTTAGGAGAAACCAGGCCCAGAAATTACCTGTTGATTTGTTAAGTCCAAACATACCATTCTGTTGCCAATGACTGCTCTAGAAATGGGTAGGGGATACAGTTCTACTCAGGAACACACAAGGAGATGTCGGGCAGGGATTCTGGGAAATCTTTCTTTTGTTATCTGGCGTTTGGTATGGTTGTGTAAGAGTATTAAGCTTGGACTTTCTTGAGTCATTTTTGACCTTGACAGAAAAAGCATGAGTATAAAACTCAACATCTGAATATGGCAAAAATATAAAGACCCTACATTATTGATAAGGAACTCTGGTAGTGTAGTGATTACAAATCAGGCTGCGAACCTCAAGGTTAGCAGTTCGAAACTACCAGCAGTTTCATGGGAGAAAGATGAGGTTTTCTATTCCCGTAAGGATTTATAGCCTAGGAAACCCAGTACAGGGTTGCTATGAGTCGGAACCGACTCCACAGCATATCACCACCTCCGCCACCACATTACTGATGACTTTGTTGAACCACTAAATTAATCAACCCCTAAATGCCTTATGAGATGGATTGCCCAAGTGGCAGCATTGATGGACTCATGCGTGGCAATAGTAGTGAGGTTGGCGCAGGATCAGGCAGTATTTCGTTCTGCTATGCATAGGGCCGCTATGAGTCAGTATTGACTCGATGGCACCTAACAACAACAACAAAATGCCTTACTGTGGGACATTTTGCTACATGATACAATGTATTTCCTTGTGATCTAGGCCAGTGGAGTACAGTTTCCTATTGCTTGCAGTCAAAATCTTCCTTACTGATTCACACACCCTTCTATTACCTGCCTATATCCTTCATGACACTAGTCAAAATTTCATATCATGTATTATTGTTTACTTGTGTGTATGCCACCGTTCCCATCTCAGTATGCAAACTCTATGAGGGGAGAGTGCTTCTCTGTCTTGTTTATCACTGGATCCCCAATTTCTAGCATGATGTCTGGGACATCATCTTTTGGGGGTCTTCCTCTTTTTTTGCCGACCATCCACTTTACCGAGCATGATGTCCTTCTCGAGGAACTGGCCCCTCCTGATAACATGTCCAAAGTATGAGAGATGAAGTCTCACCATCCTGCTCCTAAGAAGCATTCTGGCTGTACTCTTTGGAATGGGCACAAATATGGA